GGAAGTCCAAATGGAACAGAAAAGTAAATGAATTACTATCTTGTGTTAATTCTTTCTTTCATATTTAATTATCCAATCTCCAAGGTGTGTTCGTGGTAGGTATGTTTTAATCCTTGTTACTGGTGTTCTTCGGCTTCAGATGTCTGAGGTCCGAGCCCCGCCTTCACCATCCGATCTCAGTGGTCATCCGAGGCCTCAGTTAGTTCACCACTCCACGTCGTGGGTCTTATGTTACAGTTCTACTTTACAACACACCAAGATGCGTACTAACGAAACCTTTAAATGGGTCAATTCGAAAGGGTCATCTAGTTGATTATCGTTCGCTTTGATAAGATCTACGACGATCTATAAAGAAGACAGACGCTTCGTCCCGCATGGCCATAGACACAACGCTCTATCAACACACCTAAGAATGACAGAAGTGATTCGCCGCGCGCCCCAATCGCGCACGTCCACACACACACGGTGTGGGTTGTGTTTTATCGTGTAAATGGAAAATGAAAGAAAACGGCCTTATCAGCTGCCTGGTGGTCGAGTGGGTAGCGTGTTTGACTGTCTGTCCTGCCCGTCAGGTCCCGGGTTCGATCCCCAGTTCGGTCGATGGATTCACACTGTTGATGAGACCCAACCAGGTCGAACCAACTGTCCAGTGCTTCCCAGCTTTTCAGTTCACAATTCATTTACTTCCATTTCGCCTGTTCGCCGGGCTTGGCAATTTGTTTGCAAATGTTTCATCACCAGCAGAGGTGACATCATCAGTGCTTGTGAAGTGGCCACTTCAGGCGAAATGGAATTCAGTTCACCCGAGCTACGAAAACCAATTTTCAATACTTTGTCAATTCATTTACTGTATGCACGACGAATTTCACCTCTGAAAGTTGGTGTTGTGTATGCGAGTGTTCGTTCATAAGCATGGGTGCACGTGTGTGCATGTCTGGTTTCGGCTAGTGGTCTATAATGATGCGTGAACGTGTATGAGCGCACAGATACAATTCGGTTGTGATAAGGTTGTGAATACTATCATTGACGGGCAGGTGCAGCTGGGCGCAGTGACGCGTGCATGTAATCCGGTTGCATGGAGGCTTGGTGTCGGAATTTCGCGGGCCCGGGAGTCCTGCTGTTGGTTTCTGCATGTTTATCGGGTGTCAACGCTAAGCACGGCGCCGATATGGATGGTCTGGGAGACGACGGATCTTCCAGGTCGTCTAAGTAGGGGCGAAACGGCCCAGAGGAGAAATCCAACAGGCAAAAGTCCCCGTCTGCATCGGTGGTGGAAATCATCGCATTCGGTTGATCAACTTGCATCCGATTGCGTAAACCTAAAATAGGCTTCGGAGTGGGTTGAAAAGACTTCAGAGATTTACCGCTAGTTTTTGTCACATTGTCGTCGTGAATGATTTGGGAAAAACCTTCGGAATCGCTGTTCTTTTATTAATTAACTGCTTCATTCTCTGTTTCATTGATACCAGGACAAATTTTTGATACTGCTCTGCCTGGAATTTATGACTAAATGTAGAAATTTGTTGCACTCATTCATTTACTACTTTTTAGACGAACGAAACGGTTTGTTGTTGATCTTTGTATATCGTTTGTCCGGAATTGAAACTATATAATCCGATTTGACAGGTTGGTCTTTGATCTGATTATCTGAACCCTTTTTACCGGGGGTTAGTGGCTAGGAAAGACCTTTCATTAACGCCGTTACTTGCAGCTGAACTGAGTGCGCAGATCACCCACGAGCTCGGTCTGGATAAAATAATTTCTATCCCCTTCCAATTCCCACGCCATCCCTCACTTGAGCAGTACCTGTCATTCGATTGGTCAATCTCACTTCCAGGGGGAAGGAAATTTTCGGTGGTTGACGAACTCATCCATGGGGTCTTGTTATGCCCATATTAGATTGGACAATTCAGAACAGCTTGTCATTATAACAATAGGCTACGTGTGTAAGTTTGCTCCACGAATACACACACACACCTTGATCACATGCTTATGTCAAGACTGGGGGAGGAGGAACTTGCGTCAAAGTTGCGCTAAGGGTTCAGCCCATTGAAAGAATGAAATTCAACCTATGACGGACTCGGGAAGCAACAGAGAATGGCAAATAGGGTGCATTCGCTGAGAGAGGTGAGGAGGTGGAGGCAACTTGTTNCCCCCCCCCCCACCTCCGGCGCCCATATGAATCACCTCCAACGTAACTCCCTCTACCATAACAACCATCATTCCATTCCCCTCCCCTGTTCGTTCACACCGTTCTCTCTTCTGAACTGCTCACTCTCCCTTTCACTTTTTTCCTCGCTGTCTGTTATTTGGTTTGTCCGGTCAATAGTGGAAACTCAGCGGCCACAGACGCAGAAGCAGAAGCACTAGCGTCAAGAGGGGGTGTATCGAATAGTCGAATACACACACACACACCAACACACAAAGGCAGCATCAGATGATATTGATGCAGTTCCGAGCCTGACGACCCGAAATCAAATAAACCTTGTTTCGGTGCCTAATTCACTCAAGCCGGAGTACCAAATCACCTAATTGGGTTACCCATTGCTTGCTTAATTGTTTTT